CACTGGGCATAGGTCATCTTTTGATGTTGGGGGCCCTAACCAGCTTGGTTTCATCGAGTTTGCCTTTGGTTGTCTCTTGTTATTTCCAGGATGTCTAATTGAACTTCTCAGGGAGAAGGAGGGAAGGACAAGTCCAAGGTGTCTAATGTAAACACATTAAGTTTAAGTCACATTTAGTTATTCTTAAGAGTCAGTAGAACAACTCTTTCTTATGAATATAATAAACAAGACAGTTCCAGCATGATGTGGGAAGAACTGGGCACCCTTGTTTTCCTGGTGGACTGGCTTTATCTGTGGCTTCCCTGTGAGGTTCTGCAGTGACTTGTTCTTCCCTGGGTCCCACAGTGGGAGGCACCAGACCCAGTTGGGCCTGGAGTTCTTTTTTTGCCAAATGTGCTGTTTAAGTGTCTGAGTTGTAATCCATGGAATGTACTTTGTTCCTCTCAAGTAATCCCTGTTTTCATTAAATCCCAGATGAAGTTCGATCAACACCACTGAGTGTGAAGGCTCAGGCTCATTGACAGTCAATGGTGTGTGCTTCTAGTACACACTGCGTCCTATCAGAAAGGTCTCTTTGGGATGATTCCCTTTTAATGGGCCAAGAAGCTCCCAAGTGGGGATTCTTAATTAAAATCTCTTCTGATGGAGTGTGAAAAAACTGCAAAATAGTAAAGTAGCAAGTGAGGCCTGCCTTCCTTCCTTCCTTCCTTCCTTCCTTCCTTCCTTCCTTCCTTCCTTCCTTCCTTCCTTCCTTCCTTCCTTCCTTCCTTCCTTTTGATAACTAGAAGCCTGGCATGAGTGGTTCAGGATGAAACAGAGGTCTGTGACACCCTTGGGGACTTAGGCTCCTATTGGCTCCCTGTCTAGTGAACGATTTTTGTCCTCACACTTGAAAACCAGTGTGCCCACCTGCAGAGCCCAGGCTATGCTCAGGCAGAGAGGGGAGACCAGGGAGCAGCAGAGAGGAAGTAGAGCACCCTCCCAGGAGAACCGCACCCTCCCCCACATCTGGCAAATTTTACTTCTCATTGGTCAGGAAGGACACAGTGCATAGCCAAATGGAAATTCTTTCTTGAAGGAAAGCTCCAGGGTTAAGACAAGAGGAAAGCTGAAAAATTCCTGCAGGTGTCCTTGACAGCAGCCCCTGGAGCACAGTGACTCAGTCCTGACTCTTCATGGGCACAGCTGTGCAGGCTCCTGCTGGCCATGGTTCAGACTGGGCCTGGTGGCACACGCCTTTAACTCCTGCACTTAGAATCAAGAGGCAGCTGCATCTCCATGAGTTTGAGGCCAACTTAATCCGCATAGCTAGTGTCATGCCAGCCACAACCACATAAGGAAACCTTTTCTAAAAAACAAAACAAGTTAAAAACAAAACAAAACAAATCATGGTCCAGGGACAGCAGTGCTGATAAGAAATGGGGCACTAACAAGATCTTCAGGAGATAATGTGTGCATTACTAAGATGGTGGCCCTTCTTAGAGGCGCAGGTGTCGCAGGTGATCCAGATGGAGTCCTGAACGTCTTGGGGTTGGCTGTCCTGCTCTTTAGGAGACCACACTGATTCTGAGGGTTTGTAGAACCCTGCTAGAACCGACCTTGACTGAGCAGCATAGCAAGGACATCAGGGTGTGAGAAGTAAACACGGTAGTAGGATTAGTGCAGGGTTGGGGTATAGACAGAATGGTGGGGTGCAGGCAGTTGACAGAGACAGTAGGGTATAGATGGTGGAGTGGATGTGTTTGAAGTAAGTAGTAGGTACAGATGTGGGGTACCTTTGGTTAGGTAGTATATAGATGATGGGGAGCAAGGGTTAGAAAGTATGGAATAGTGAGATGACAGGGTAAGAGGGTTTGGTGGAAACAGCAGGGCACAGACTGTGGGATGTGGGTATTTGGTATAAGTAGTGGTACTGTTGGTGAGGTGCAGGGGTGGGTTTGGCAGTATCCCCTCATGACTCTAAGTGGTATTACTTAGAGTTATGGATTTGATGGGCACCGAGAACACAGATGGGTTCTGATTCTAGTATTTTGTCCAGACCACAATTTTAAGTATCTTCGGCCTCTCGGACTCATCTCTGCCCTCTGGGGTACCAGCTGCCTCAGTTGGGTATGCCATGTCCTACCCTGGGTTGCTCCGAGTTGCCCAGGTAGCATGACAAAGACTGAAAAGTTATGCTCTCTCCCTCCATGTGCTCTCAATGCCAGATGCTAAGATCTGTGGGTCTCCTTAACAAATATAAAGCCTCCGGAACACAAAATTCTCCTTTCTTGTGCCCCAACATCACCTCCAGTTTGTGCCATGATGCCCTGAGAGGAGAAACTTCTACTGGCATAGACCCAGGATTTGCTCAGAAGTAAGCGAGCCAGCTCGGGACCCACATCATGCTGAACAAGGACAATGATCTGTTCCTGCTGTGGCAGCGACTACAGCCCCTCAAGAGCTCCACCAAGTCTCTCCACATGCAACCGCCCTCCAGCATCTTCAGGCTTGGTGTACTAGTGAGAGGCTCACGGGTCCAGGAGGGACAGTGTCCCTGTTCATGGCTGCCTCACTGTTCCCGTGCAGGTCTTTAGAGACCTCTGTGGACACCTGCAGAAGACAGCCACTGCCCGAGACTCCCAAGTCATGGCCATGCCTGTGGTTTAGGTTCTTTCTCTCAGGGTTTTATTGCTTCAAACATTTGATGGCATTTCTGTAGTTGAGCTGCGGATGCTCCGGACGGAGCTCTCCGGTGCTCTGGGTGAAGAGACCTGCTGCAGTTATTTCTGCCCCGAAATGCTCATCTTCAGAACCTGCTGTGATTTCTCTTTCATTTCTGACAAAGTGCAGGGAGAGCTGTGTGTCAACTAGCAGCCCTTTCTTGGGGGAGTGCATCTGAATGACGTCCTCGCGTGCAAGCGTGCACCTTCAGGATGAGCTCCCCCACTTGCTGTCTTCTTAACGGAGGCAACACAATTGCTAGCTCCTGCCACAGTCACGGGTGGGCGGTTTGCAGAGCGTGTGCACAAAAGGGTGGTTTCATTTTAACCACGCAAGACTTTCAAAGGAGCCAACGCAGGGAGGTGACAGGGAGCAGCCCTTAGTCACCGCAAGTGTCATTGTGCAACGTTGTGTAACAGGGTGGCCCAGCACTTCCCCTTCTCTACTTGACCTTTGGGGGCGTGGCTGTGTCCACATCACAGTACTCCTTGTGTGCCAGCAAATGACAGACACCGCAGTACTGCTTCTGTGGCAGGAGTGAGCCTGAGACCTGGCTACAGCTTGCAGGAAACAAAACAGAGTGGGGGGGGGGGGTGTAGGATAGAGCTCACTAAGTAAAGTGCTTGCCTCACAAGGACCTGCATGAAGATGTTAGACAAAATAACTGTCACCTACTGCAAGAAGGAGCTTCTCTGGTGAGGACTGACAGCTGCACCCACCTGGATGCAGTGGTTAAAAACAAAAGCACATGAGGCTGGGGAGGAAAGTGGTGGGGGTGGGCAAGATCAGAGGGAAGAGAGTGGAGGGTTTGATGAAAGCACACATGCATGTGTGAGATTATTGAGCAGTAATTAAAAAATCTTTGTAAAGAATATTTTTGAAGTCAGATATGGAGGCCTCCCACTAGGACACCAAGCCTGAAGATGCTGGAGGGCGGTTGCATGCAGAGAGACTTGGTGCAGCTCTTGAGGGGCTGTAGTCACTGCCACAGCAGGGACAGATCATTGTCCTTATAATCCCAGCACCGGGCTCTTTAGGGCTCCTTGGCCACCATCCAGCCCAGCTAGAACTCTAGGCCAATGACAGACCCTGTATCAAAAGAGAATTTCAGAGTGTAACATTGGAGCTTAGCCTCTAGCTTACACACACACACACACACACACACACACACACCAAAACCAAACACAGCAAGATGAAATATGTGTGAACGGCCAGCAGCCTCTGCAGTCCTGACCCCTAGAAGAACATAGAGCAAAGGAAACTCAGACAGGTCCTTTCACGTGAGTGTCCTCTGCCTAGACCTTATGCATAATGAGGCATCTGTAAATTGGTGCCATGGTGTGAGTGAGAATGGCCCCCATAGGCTCATACAGTTGAAAACTTGGTCTCCCTCCAGCGGGTGGGACTGCCTGGCAAGGGTAAGGAGTTCTGGCTTTGGAGGGGGCGTGTCATGGGGCAGCCTCCTGCAGTCCCCAGTGCTCTCTCCGGTTATGGTTTGAGAGGTGAGCTCTCAGCTGTTTCTGCTGCCTCACCTTTGTCGTGGACGGTAGCTGACTCTAGGAGGTCCCATTCCCAGTCAGCACCAGGGTAAATGAGAAAATCCGCGAAGGCGGCAAGGGCTAGACTTTTCAATCTGAGGGGAAAAATAAGCAAGCCCAGGCTTTCCTGATGGTGATCGCCTCTTTTACTTCAAACAATCTCTTTTTCTTGGCATCCTCTCTTTACATACATACATCTCCTGCCTAGTTACATATTTCAGTATTTGGGTACGACATCTCTTTACAAGCTGTTACGTATTTCTCTCTGTATACTCACCCACGCTCACTCTCACACACTGCTTTTATATTGCTCACTCACTCTTTCACCCCTTCACTCGCTCACACGTTCCCATGCTTCTTCCTCTTCCTCTCTCACGCCGCGCCCACACACCCTTCCTTTTCTTCAGCAGCTCTCACAAAGCTCTCACAGCCGTCTAGCTGCACATGGCTGCGGCTGCCGCCTCTGCCTCTCTCACAGCCGAACTCTGGACAATTGTAAGTCACATTTTCAGGGCCTGAACCATTCTCAAAACACGTGAGAAGTCACGTAGTTTCTTTCAGGCTAGGAATGCATGTCACCCCATGCATAGAGCTCTTTGCCAGACAGAAAATGACACTGGAAATAAAGATTTAACAATAACAATTAATTAGCTGGACCTTGAGTGGTAGGGAGGACACGCTGATTAAAGTTGCTGCAAGCTCTGGCCTTGAATCAGTAAAACAACACCTGGGAAATTGACCTCCTGTGTTTGTCTCTAGGGGCAACCAGATATTTGTCTCCAGGAGCAACCAGCTTGTTTTGAATTTGCTCTGAAATCTAAAGTTAACTGTCTGCGTAGAAGGCTGTCAGTTGTGACTGAGAATCCTGTGTCGATCTGAGTATGTAAAATATCCTAGTATTAATTTATTCATTAGAATCACAACAAGTTAAACACCATCTTCCTGACCGCTCACAGCTATATGTGTGCCCAATAAGTGTAAAACACACCACCAAAGGACTGTGGAAAGACCCCACAGCGTTGTTATTAGGGAGGCAGAGCAGTGGTACCCAAGAAAATTACGGACAGTAACAACCAGTTATTCAGTCAATAACCCTACAGAGAGGGCTCTCCAACAACATCTAGTGGGTTGACTTGTTAAATACCAGTTGTCACTGCTGTAGTAGGGGCCACTCCCTAGTGCTGCAGCTGGTGAGGGGCAGGGCCAGCTTTCCCACCTACCCCAGACATTGGTGGAGGGTGGGGGAAGGCATATCTTCCCTGCCAAGGCTACCTCAAGATATATGAGTAATGGAGACAGCTCTCCCATGCTTACAACTAAGGGGCTGGCTCACCCACATCTCTGCCAACAGGTTTGGATTTTTGTGCTGCACAGGAGAGGTGCAGGGCCACCACAGCCATTCTTTAGGCCTTTGTCCTAGTCAGCTTTGTCATCTTGACAACGCTTAGAGTCATCTGAGAAGACAGCCTTGGTTAAGTAATTGCCTAGATCAGATTGATCTATGGCATGTCTGTGGAGGATTGTTCTGATGGTTAATTGTCATAGGAAGGCCCATCTCATTGTGGGTAGCACCATTGCTTGGAGTGTCTAGGAAGACTACCTAAGCATGAGCCCATGAGCAAACCAGCAAGCAGCATTCCTCCATGATTTCTTCTGCACGTTCTTGTTCCAACTCTTCCTTGGTTATGGATTCTCTAAGCAGAAGTAAATCCTTTTCTAAGTTGCTTTTGGTCATTTGTCCCAGCAACAGAGATCAAACTACGACAAACTTAAATGATGAACTGTTCTATAGTTTATAAATGACTTCTGCACACATTTTAAAGCACTTACCCAAACAGAGGGTGGCCCTGGCAGTTATGAAGAAAACTGCACAAAGCTCATAGATTCCCACGAAGTCCCCACCTAGCAAAGAACATGCAAGCTCTCAGAGCTTGGCCACCTGCATCTTGCCTCGTGACATAGGGGCAGGTGCACAACCAGATGTGTCTCGGAGATAAGAACTCACACCCCACCCCCACTGCTAGCACTGCTGGATAGCTAACACAGGTGTGCCCCAGCTGTCATGTAGGGGCTCAGCTTTGCGTGGTGGACAGGCTTGCCTTTAATCCCGATTTAGTACCCTCCAAAGTGCAGGAAGCTTAAGCCTGGGGAATGGACACAGAACAATACCATTTGGGTTTAGTGTGAACATAATTCTTCCCACCATTTGGGACCCAAAGCTTTACAGTAGTACATTTAATGACTTGAGCTCTCTTGTGATCTATTTTTTGCAGGAGGTTCCAGGCTTACCTGAACTCTAGAATTAACCTGTTCCTGCCTAAGAAGCTCCCTCCTGTCAAACTCTCCCAGCCAGTGCTGCTGCTATGGGATTTTGTTCATGGGGCCCCAAACCAGCAGAGCTTTTCCAAATCCTGACAAGATATCGCAAGTCACTCCTTATTTAAGAGGCCATGGAAATTCATAGTAGCTATGGAGGACTGGTCCCAGAACCTATGGATGCTCACATTCCTCATACAGAGTAATATAACATTTGCACATAAGGTGTGCAACCTTCCTAACTACTTTGAATCATCTTTAAAACACTTAAAACACATGTGGTACAAGCTGTGTAAATAGTCACCATAGCATATATAACACTTAGGAGATAACGAGGGGAAAAACCTACATGTTTGACAGGGATAACATTTTTTAAACATTTTCAATTTGTTAGTAGTTGAATCTTCATGAGCACAGCCTGTGAATACTAAAGTCTAGCTGTGCAGTTTTAAGGGACAGACAGCAGGTCATTAAGGGTGGGGAGGAGGAAGGAGAGAGGCAGATTCAGACAGAGAGAGAAATGATAAATTATTTCATTGCTACTTCATAACTGTAATTCTGCTAGTGTTAGGAATCGTAATGAAAATATCTGAAGAGGTCTTGACCCACAGGCAGAGAATTGTAGCTGTAGAGGACTAGAGCATCCACAGACTTTGGTATCTGAGCAGGAGGCCAGGGCCAGTCCTGTGGATACCGAGGCTTGTCTGCACTGGGCAGGCGACACTGGTAGAGCAGTGATTCTGTTCCTCCTGGTAATTGTGCACGTCCTTCTGACAAGAGTGAAGATCCTTAGTGGTGGGGCTGATTTTTCAGAAGGAAAACCGAGCCAGTGGCTTCTAAGACGAATGTGACACTCCTTAGAACTCATCCCTTCAAAATCAGCCTCTCTGCCCCCAACTCCATGTTCTACAGCTCAAGCCACAGGCTTCAGGAGTGGAAGTGAAAAGTCTGTCAGAAAACTCCAGGGTCTTTCATCCAATTGTGGGAAGCAGCCGGGGAACAGTCATTCCTGGAACCTGGCAGGAGAGGCCCCGGTGCTCAAGGGAGCCTGGGATGGGGTCATTGGTTGAGCCAGATGAGAGAAAGAAGGAAAACCTCCAATGCTTGAAGCTGGAGGACACAGGCATATGTAGTCAGATTTTATTTTGGGCAGCCAGCTCACAGATAACAACATTACTAATTATGAGTGCTCAGCCTTGGCTTGGGCTTGTCCTCCTCGCTCTTATAATTTAAATGAATGCATTTATATTAATCTATGTGGTGTTACCTCTCTCTAATCTTGCACCTCCTGTTTCCTCTCCGTGTCTCGCTGGCAGTTCTGCCTTTCTTCTTCCCAGAGTCCTCTCTGTCCCCAGAAGTCCCACCTAACCTCTTCCTGACTGACCATTCATCTCTTTATTAGACCAATCAGAAGGGACCTTGGCAAAGGCACATCTTCATGTGTAAACAAGTATTTCACAAGGCAGTGTGTTCATCAAAGAACTGAGAAAGTGGGCTGGTGAAGTGTTGCAATGGGGCCTTCTGAGCCCACCGCAGGCCCAGCTCGCCTCTGACTCAGTGGTGTAGTCCTCCTTGCAAAATGGTTTGGCTTATAATAGAAAAGTGATTCATGGCAGTGGAAACTGTGCTTTTGAATTTTAGTCATTCTCAGGTCTGGAGATATTCAGCACAGTTCTTTCTCCAGTTCTGGGCAGGTGCAGTGACCACAGTCAGCCATGTGAATAAGAGGATACAATCAGAGCTCTGGGAAGGTACAGTGACCACAGTCAGCCATGTGACTAAGAGGACATGACCAGAGACCAGAGTCCTGGGCAGGTACAGTGACCACAGTCAGCTATGTGACTCAGAGGACATGACCAGAGCTCTGGAGTGTCCTATTACTGAGCTTTGATGTTAGGTAGCTTAAAATGTTATTTCCTACTTAGGATATTTTCATCTGTAATGGGCCCAATGATCTGTAACCCATCAGAACTCAAGAACACTGTACTCCCTAACTGCAGGCTGAAAGTTTCCAGTAAACAGAGTTACATCAGTATGTGTGCTAAGTCTTTATTAAAGCATCACAATTGGGGCAGATTAAGAAGACCAGCTTCGGGTTGGAGAGATGTCTCCATGGTTAAGAGAACTGGGCTGTTCTTCCATAGGACCTGTGTTCAATTCCCAACACCCATATGGCAAATCACAACTGTTTGTAACGCTGATACCCTTACACAGGTGAAACACCAATAAAATAAAAATAAATAATTTAAAAAGAAGAGAAAAGAAGACCAGCTTCCTGGATATCATGTCCTGGTAGCCATCTGGGTGATCTCTGGCTCAACTTCTGCTTTCCTCCTTCAGTATTACTTTGAGAAAAATTCCACACCTCATAGAATTTTATGTATTGCCAATTTGGTAAGAGCACACACAGAGATCACGGGATTTATCCTAGTTTTAGTGCTGTCAGGGATGGAAACTGTAACTTGGACACGTGGAAGAACTCAGACACACCTATGAGGCAAATAACCAAGACACTGCAACCATGGATGCCTGCTAGGCTCCAAGCATGGCCCACCTGGCACCCCAGGAATGCTGAGCATCTGGTTGGTACCTGTAGTCTAGTCCTGTCTGTCTGTCTGTCTGTCGTAGGCCAGCTCTGAGGTGGGGTCCAAATCATGAGCTCAGACTGTCCTGTCCTTTGAACTTGCAACCTTCCCTCGATGACCAATGACCCTTCCCAGTTCCTCATCCCCCTGCTCTACAAAGCCTGGCTTACCTGGTTTCATAATGTGTGGGGACAAGCTCCTCTGCCTGTGAGTCTGCTAGACATAGTTGGCCCTTCTCTTTTGACATTCTCCATCGAACCACATGACCCATCCTTTCTAAGGAAAGTCTTTCTAAGGAAACCAAGACAGTGGATTAGGGCTAGATTTCTGCTTTTAAGTTCTTTATGTCCAATAAGCAGATGAAACAGAAGTATCAGTCCCATGGGCAGCAGCCACTGGTGGGGAATCCTGCTCCTCCCCTCCAGCCATGCAGCCCTGGATGTTCTTCATGGAGTCTTCCCCAGGTATAATAGTAAACAAAGAATCTGGCAGGCAGAGCCCTCCCCTGGGCATCAACCTCTTCATCCATGCTGGAGTGCCAGTCTCAGGGGCCAAGACCTGTGCCCAGCCCTTCTGCCATCCTCTGTCCAGGTTCTTTCATAGTGAGAACCTCTAGCTTCAGGCAGAATAAAAATAACAAATACACTGTGTACCTTGCTGTCTGGCTAAAGAGAACTTCCCCTTCTTTTTAAAGAGTGAGCTAAACTCCCCTTCAAGCAGAAGCACAGGCTCCTGCCTGCTGGGCGAAGGCAGCCAGGCATCATGGAGCACCGGTTTCTTTTGTTCTCCAGGGGCTCTTCAGCAGGCCCGGAAGGAAGCTAAACAAAAGCTGGGCCTGTCAGAGTTGCCTCAGTAGGCAGAACTTAAGCACATCTGGAAATATCTGCAGGCAAACTCCCGGGTGGGCAGGGAGGGTGCTGAGAAAGGGGATTATAGTTCCCACCCCTCTTCACAAAACAGCAAACAAATGAAAGAAAAACACTTAATACGTGTAATTACATATAGATGCAGATATAGACATACAAAATCTGGCTACCCCAAGACAGCTAACATTAGCAACGGAGGGCCATTTTTGTCTACGTCTCACAGTGCACACGTACGGTGATGGGCCGTATCATACAAGCATCATAAAAATTTAAACGCCCTTTAACAATGCAGTCATTTTTCTTTGGACTTTTCCCTTGGACTCCTCATCTCCATCAAGAACTAATCTTTTAAAATCTATTATGGATTTCTGGTTGAACATAGTAGATTGAAAATATGCATTAACCTCTGCTCCCTTTCAAAAACCTCTAAAATGATAGCAAATGGATAACAGAGGCATTAGCTCTAAAGAACAAAGAGATCAGCGGACTCCTGTGCGTCACTAGAGATGCACAGAGCTAAGGAAACTGGAACACAGATGGATGAGCAGTGGTCAAAGTGAACAGGCTGAAACTGACTGCCTTCAGATGGAAGCTGCTGGTACCCAAACAGAGGTGCACTAGTGCACCAGAGGGTCCTGGGAAAGTTTGTTATTTAGGGGCATTCAAATCCATTTGGAAGGTATGGAAACAACAGGGCATACAAGTTATCCTGAGAAGTAATGAATTACCAGATCCCCTCCTCCTGCTTACCTCCAAGGGACTTCCCTATGTGGAACCCATGGGATCCAGGGCCAGGTGGCAGGACACCCCATAAAGACGGTCAGACAATCTTAGTACTACAATTGTATAGTAAGCACTAGAGCAACCATACGGAGTAACCTTGCTTCAATGAAGAGGGTATATGTCACCAACTTTATAATATTGAGAGTAGCATTGTAGGTTTGATATAGAGTTTAAGGATGCTAAAAATTAAAACAGTCAAAAACATAACTTAAAAAGGAATGCAGCAAGTGTCAACTTCAAGAAAAATGGTTGGAAGGAAGTTATAGAAATATTACTTGAGTAAAACGTAAGTAATTTTTAAATCGAAGTCATGAATACATTAAACTGATTGCACTTCAGAACTATGCTATCCCACAAGAAAGGAGCAGAAACGTGGATAGGGAGGGGGTGGTGAGTACTGGGGTCCAACATCTGTATCTTTATTTCTCTTAACCTGAGTCAATGTCCAAGATCAAATAAATAAAACTGAAAGCATGCTATGTAGAATATGCTCCAATAAGAAGTGATTCTTCCTGGGACAAGAGCTACTTGTTCGTATATTTCCATTTATGTATACTTAGTACATACATCCACCACTAAATGATCGAACTAGAATTTTGTATTATCTGTACTGTTTTCAGGCATCACCTAGTCACTAGGTAGATGGCTGATAGGTGATAGATGAAACTATGCCTACATTTATAAAAGAATATTGTAGGCCAGACATTGGTGGGGCACGCCTTTAATCCCAGTGCTCAGGAGGCAGAGGCAGATTTCTATGAGTTTGAGGCTAGCCTGGTCTACAGAGCTGAGTGCCAGAATAGGCTCCAAAGCAACACAGAGAAACCCTGTCTTGAGCCCCACCCCAAAATATTGTATTATGTAATCTACCACTCTTTGTACTTTACCCCACATAACAATAAATCACAAAAATCCTTCAAAGTCAAGTGGTGGTGTATCAACTAACAAAAATGTATCTTTGTTAATTCTTTGAGAATTTCATGTATTTAATCATATTCACCCATATTCCTCCCCTTAACTCCTCTCAGATTTACTACTCACCCTTTCCCAACTTTGTGTCCTTTGGTTTGTTTTTAATAATCCATCAAATCCAGTTTGTACCACCCATACACTCATGGGTGTCCGGGGCAGCTAATGTAGCATAGTTGACACTGGGGACTACACCCTTAAAGGAAATTGGTTGTCCCTCTCCTGGAAGCCAGCTGTCTAAACTCCTCAGTTAGGGGTTGACACTGATGAGTTCTATGTGAGTTCATGAGTACAGTGGTCCTGTCACATCAAGAAGACAGTTTTGCTCTGGTCCTCCGACTTCCAACCTCCAGCTCTTATAATTTTTCAGTGCTCCCTGAGTCTTGTGGGTAGGTGACACTGATGTTCCATTTGTGCCCCAGGCCTTCACTGACACTCTCTGCACTTCGATGAGGTGTGAGTTTCTGCCTTAACATTCACCCACTGCATGGCCATCCACCTCACATAGAAACTTCTCTGATGAGGCCTGAGAGCTGCATTAATCTATGGGTAGAGAGATGGGATTCTGAGGGCACTTTGCTACTATGATCATTTAGCAAAATAATGGTACATGCATACCTGAGGCCTGAGAGCTCCCTACCCTTGGGTTTACATGGCCAGATTCACAGTACCAAGCTTGCATTTCCTCCTGTGCAAGCCTTAGTTTCAGTCACATTGGTTACCTCCAAAACACTTTTGTCACTATCACATCTTCAGGCATTTCTTGTCACTCCAGTGATTGTTGTGATTTGTAAGGTTCACAGCTGGGTAATGTGCTGTGACCTTTATCTCCCAACAGCTTGCCTAGTTCTTCTGGTGCTATGACAAGCCAGGCAGCAGAAAATGGCCTTCGTTGTTTTGGGGGTCTCTAGGATCCCTCTGACCAACACCTCAACAGGACATTCATTGTGACCAAATGAACTTCATCCCAGAGAGGAATGGTTGACTCAGCATACATAAATCAATAAATGCAGCACACTATATAAACAAGTGGGCAATGGTGGTGCATGCCTTTATCCCAGTGCTTGCGAGGTAGAGGCAGGAGAATCTCTGTGAGTTGAAGGCCAGCTGAGACTGTTTTATAGAGGAACCCTGTCTCAAAACAAAACAAAACATTGTTTCACCGGGTGGTGGCATGCGCCTTTAATCCCAGCACTAAGGAGGCAGAGGCAGGCAGATGTCTGTGAGTTCGAAGCCAGCCTGGTCCACAGAGTGAGTTCCGGGACAGGCTCTAAAGCTACACAGAGAAACCCTGTATCAAACAAACAAACAAACAAACAATAACAAAACTCCCCAAATTTAAGGATGGAAACCACGCAGTCATCTTGATTGATATTGCAAAGCATTTGACAAAATTCAAATTGCCTTCATGATAAAAGTCCTGATGATAGGAGGTGTGCTGCTTCTATTCTTAACATGCATTCCATAGGTCGCTGTACCTGGGTTTGCATCAGTGTCATGGCTATGCTTGTCACTGTAGCTCTTTGGTATACCTTGGAGTCAGGAGTGGCCACCAGCATTTTATTGGTCAGGATTGTTTTGTGTACACAGGACCTTTCCTGCATCCATATAAATTTTAAGATTAACTTTTTTTCTGTGAGGGAATTATACTGCAAATTTTTTTTGTTTTATGAGACAGGGTTTCTCTGTATTGTTTTGGAGGCTGTCAGTCCAGCCTGGCCTCGAACTCACAGAGATCCGCCTGCCTCTGCCTCCCGAGTGCTGGGATTAAAGGCACGCGCCACCACCACCTGGCTTATATTGCAATT